CGATGTAGTGCGGCTTCTTCATGTCGTCCAGGAAGGCCATCAACGACTGCAACGACTTGCCGTTCACTTCCTACGTGCACAACAGGGCAGGGTTGGTCACACGCACACGCACACGCACACGCACACGCACACGCACACGCACCTGCTCTTTTGGGTAGTCGGAGAAGAGGTCGGGGTGGACGAGGAGGTAGAGCCGATTGAGGAGGGTCTTGATGGGGGTCGACTTGAGCTCCGCCCGTGGGTCGCCCTCCACGTCTGCAGCGCGCCTGCTCGCAGATGAAGTCGCGATGGATCGAACAGCACAGGAAGCAGCGGCGGGGCGGTGGTGGGAGCCGGCAAAGACTGAAGAGAAGCAAACCGTGCGTGGATGAAGAGGGCGCGGACAGGCCGGTGGATGCTCCTTCGCATTTCCTCGCGGAAAGGCCTTGGTCGATCGCCCATCGTGGCCCTTATTGCAAGCGGAGGTGGCAGTGCCGTGAGCGAGCCTGGCCTCCACCACGCCCCTGCAGCCTCGAAGCTTGACAGCTCTGCGCATCGACACCTGGGTCTTGATCTGTCCTTTTCCTACTTCTTTTCTCTGTTCGATTTCTTTTTCTTCGTTATTTTCTACCAGAACGACGAATTGGGTCCCATTATTCGAACTCTCATGAGACGCCGCAACATCAGCAAGAAAGAAGAAGAAGAGGAGGAAAGTGAGACACTGTCCGTGACACACACCCTCAGTAGCATTGTAAATCACGGGTATGTCTCGCTCTTCCCTGTGTTGGCCTCATCTATCATTTTTTCTTTCCGATTTACCCCCCCCCCAAGTAGCGGCAGCATGAACAACACAGGGAAGAGCGAGGAGGACACCAAGGGAAAGGCCAAGGAGGAGGCGAAGGAAGCGGCGTCCGCCACGCCCCAGGCTTCTTCTTCTTCTTCGTCCCAACCGAAGCGGCACTTCACGCTGCTCATCGACAAGAGCGGGAGCATGACCACGCGCGACTGCCCCAACGGACGGAGCCGATGGGAGCTGGCCAAGGACGCCGCCAAGGCCTTCGCCCAGGTCTGCTGCACCTTCGACGCCGACCACACCGTCGACGTTTTCTTTTTCGGTACGTGGCGTGTGCGTGTGCGGTGGCGTGTGCGGTCGGAGCAGTGTCTGAGTTGACAGACGGGCCGAGCAGGAAGCCGAGGGAAGGACGAGCACATGGCGGTGAGATCTGGGAGCGATATCGAGGCCCGGTTCGCGCGAGGACCGACCGAGGGCACCTACCTGGCGGGGTGCCTTCAGAAGGCCATCGAACTCGTGCCCTACGATCAACTGGTAACACGCACACGCACACGCACACGCACACGCACACGCACACGCACACGCACACGCACACGCACACGCACGCTGACCCTGTTGGGTTGTACAGCACACGATCATGGTGATCACCGACGGAGAGGCGAGCGACAAGGGGCCGTTGGAGAAGGTGCTGGTCGAGGCATCGCACAAGATCGCCCGAGACGAGTGCCTGGCCATCTCCTTCATCCAGGTCGGGCAGGACAAGGGCGCCCGCCGATTCCTGAAAATGTTGGACGACGACCTCACCGGCTGCAAGTTTGATATTGTCGATACCAAGGCATGTCGCGACAGCCACTCCACCGCGCCACCGCACACACCACACAGCGAGCGAAGTGGCCTAACCGGTTGCTTTCACCAGAGCTGCGACGAGGTGGCTCAGATTGGGCTAATCGAGACTCTGCGGCAGGCCATCACCGACTGATGCCAGGCGGGATCGCGCTCGATGATCGACACATGTGAATTCTACTGTGCTAAAATAACTTTCTCTATTTTCTTCCCACGGTTTGCAGGTGTCGATGCACACATCGCCACACTCACGCGCGCCCAACGCTAAGAGAACGCCTTCGCTAGCTTAGGCGTAGTCGTCGTTGTTAATGGGCGCGTAGCCGACGTGCTTCTTCCTGTGCTGGAGGATGAAGTAGGTCGTGAGGCCGCCCACCACCACCAGGGCCACGCCGCCGCCCACACCGATGCCGATGCCGAGCTTGGCCACCATCGAGTAATCAGACTCTGCGGTGCGCACACAGGGGAGAGACGACGTGTGTGAGCGAACGAGAATTCGATAGGAACACGCACGCACGCAAGCTGGGCGTCGCGACGTACCGGGAACCTTGTATTGGGGGTAGTTCGGGTAGTTAGGGTAGTTAGGGTAGGCAGGGTAGGCAAGAGCGTCCGACCGGACGGGCATCAGCTCAGGGCGGTTCCACTGGATAAGGTCCGAGCTGTGGTGCGCGTGTGTTAATGCGTGCGCGGCGGCGGTGCGCAGGGATGGAACCGTGGGTGCGGGGTGTCGTTGCGTGGAGAGTAGGCGCGTACGCGAAGTGGTTGGGGGGCTTGATGGAGATGGGCTCCGACTCGACGGTGGAGAAGTGCTCCCAGTCGAGGTCGCTCACGAAGGCCGGGCGGTCGACCTTCTCGACCTGGACGTCGAAGTCGGCGAAGTCGAACTCCCACGTGTTGTGGTGGCGCACGTACACGTGCTTGCCGTCCTCGTTGTTCATCACGTACACACTGCCCCGAGTCGCAGCATTGTCTAGTCAGCCCCCCCCCCCACAGTGCACTATGAAGAGGGAAGATCGAAGCGATGGCGCACGTACGTGGCACCCTTGTTGAGGGCGAACTCGGCGAAGGCGTAGTCCTCGGCCACCGAGTTGTCGGGGTACCTGAGACCGCTGTCGAACAGGCTCTGCGTCACACACACGTGGGAGTCGTGAGTCGTCGTATCGACAACAAGCAATGCTGACGTGTCACGCGTGAGCGTGCGTGAGTGCGTGGGTGGTACCTTGCGGTAGACGAAGGTGCCGAAGTGGGGACCCCACGTGGAGGCGCGCTTGACGATGTAGAAGGACTGGGTCGGGAGGATGTAGTAGTAGTGGTGCTCGAGCACGGTCATGTCCACCTCGCCGCGGATGATGGGCGCCACCTGAGCCGAGATACGGTGCTCGCGGAAGTAGTCGTCGTCGTCCCAGTGCACCACGATCTCGCCGCGCGCGTTCTCGACAGCGATGTTGCGCTTGACGCCGATGGAGCGGCGCTCGGTGAGGTGGATGTAGCGCACGTTGGCGGCCGACAGCGCGGCGATCATGGCGGGGTTCTCGGCCTGCGACACGCGACCATCGTCGACGATCACGATCTCGATGTTGGGGTAGTCCTGCCTCTGGACGAGCTCGATGGCCTTTCCCAGGAACTGCGGGCGCTCGTAGGTGGGCATGATCACGGTGACCAGAGGGTACTCAGCTGCGCAGACACAACACACAGCACACACACACACGCACACGTGACACAACGCACAACACATGGCACACGTCAGCGGTTTGTGGATGCACGCCGGCGGGAGAGGTGAACGTACTGGCCATGCCGGCGTGAGGCGTGACGTAGGACATGTGGGTCCACGAGAAGGCCTTCTTGTTGGGCGCATCGAGCTCGCTGCCGTACTGGCCCACAAGGAACGCCTTGGCGTCGGCCGGCACGCGGATGGTTCCCTCGTGGAACGAAGCCTGTGCGAAAGCACACGCACACGCACACGCACACGCACACAACAAGCTGGGTGAGCGCCCGTGTGCGTGTGCGTGCGGGTAGTGGACGGCGGAGGTACCAGCTTGGTGGGGAAGACGGTGGCGACGGCGGGCTGGTAGGACAACCACGGGTGCACGAGACGCTCGCCATCGTCGGACCGCGAGTAGACGAACAGGTTGACGAAGGCCGACACCTCGCCGTCGATGACGATCGACACCTTCAGGTGCTTCACGTCCTCATCGCCCTGCACCAGGTAGTTGCTGCCGGTCTCCAGCTCCGCGAGCAGCACCTGCGTGATTTTTTATTTGGTTGCGGTCCAAAACAAAAAGACATGAGGTGACGTCTGCAATCTTTACTATTGGACGGAGTTGCATAACCAAAATCTGATTAGGATTGTTATTTAAATCAATAAAAAAAATATGGGGAATGCAATGGACAAGGTAAAAATGGCAAATTGGAAAATTGGTTTTTGATTGGAATTGATGGGCATACCTGGCGAGCGGTGTCGAAATTGACTGACTCGATGGCGAGGTCGACAGAGTGGGCGTGGTGGGGCATCGAAGCGGCATGGCGCCAAACGCCCTCGAGCGTGCGACCGGTGGCAAAGTAGCACACGCCGGCGCTCTCGAGACGCTCGTGGATGGTGGCAACGAGGCGGGCGATGGCAAGGGCGCGGTTGAGCTGCTTCTCGCCGCCGTGGGGGCCGGGCCGCGAAATCTCGTGCACCAGGCGCTCTTCGCTCTTGCACGAGGGGGTGGCCGAGGCGGTGATGGCCAGGGCGAGAAGCGCCAGGCTCAAGAGCAGGAAGAATCGATTAATCATCTCTCCTAAGCGTACCGCTTTTTTCAAGGGACGGATGCGCAATCGATGGAGGAAACTGATCAGATGGCTTCCGTCGCGGCTGCAAAGAAAAAGGGAGCGAAGGCGGCCACGAAGGAAGACGGACTAGAAAGTTCTTTGTTGCGTCGGGCGGTAATGAAGGACATAAAAACTCCGAACCGCACATCTTCAGCAAACGCTTTATTGTACTTCTCTTCTTCATCTTCTTCGAGATTGTTGGTGCCTTACATACCTCCACTTCGCGCGTGCATCATTGTTGGTGGCACTTGACGCTCTCGGCGTCGTTCTTGTCTTCCTCCTGCTTCTTGCGCTTCTCGGCCTTCCGCCTGGCTCTGGCCTCGCCGCCATCGCCGTTTCGGTGGTGGTGGCCGCGGTGGTGGTTGTCCGGCTGCGTGGCCGGTTTGGCCGGGGCCTTAGTCGCGAACACGGGTACCACGCTCCGGCCGGCGATGACCGCTTCGATGGGTTCCCGCGGCTGCAGGAGGGCCAAGTCCTCCACCACCCGCGCAAAGACCTGCGAGGGAAGAAGTTGAGGGTCAAAAGCCCTGATGGTGGTGGTAAGGAGAAGAAGAGGGCGGACGAATACCTTCTTCTTCTCTTCCGACTTGGCGATGTCGTCTTGTGTGGGGAAGACGACGTTGAAGATGATGTGCAAGTCGCCCGCCTTGGGCTTCGGGGCCGAACTGTAGGCCGGAGTCTTGGGCATGTTGGGCAGCACCGGCATTCCCTCGCCCTGTTCGCGACGGCGACGAAAAAAGTCAGGCGCTGCGGGAGGCGTGTGCACTGCGCACGACAGCGAACAAGTGCGTACCCGAATGACCACCATGTCGCCCGTCTTGATGATGCCCGCAAAGGAGCCGTATTCGTGGGGTCGGACCAGGAGGACCCGGTTGTCCATGTGGATGATAGGGAAGGCCGCCCCCGTGAGCGCTTCGTGGAGGGTCAGGTGTTGCGTGTAGAGAAGATCGTTTGATGTCCCGATGCGTTGGAAGGGCTTGTTGTCCTCCTTCTTCTCTGCGATCGTGAAGATGACATCCCCCGCTCTGCTGCCCGGCTGCAGAAGGCGCGTAGAAAGAGTAAAGTGAGACGGCGCCGCTCGATGAAGAACGTTACCATCTTCTTGTGGGCGAGGCAGTACCTTAGCGTCCGACATGCCAGCGAAAACAAGTCGCTGGCCCAGAGCCATCCCTCGTTCCACCTTGACCTCGAGTATTTCGGGCCGGTAGACCACAGAGCGACCAGCACAAAGTGGGCACCTGGAAGACCCGAAAGAGAGAGGGAGAGAGAGAGGGAGAGAGAATGAGCCGAGGGTAATAAGCGAGCGTTGTGCTGACGTTAGGACGTACCTCTCACAGGCCTTGAGTGTGTAGCCTCGAGTGTTGCACTTGCGGCAAGGACTCACCAACTGCTGAAACAGAGGCGGCATGATCTTCGTGATGCTGATGTTTTGCGAGATATGAGCATCGGAAAAGAGAAAGCGCGGTGTGGAGTGGATGGGGAACACGAGGAGAGACAAGTACGTTTTGGTGCCAATTCCGTTGCACTCGGTACACTCCTCGGCTGCGCCCTCTGTCATGCCTCCAGCACTGAAATGGCAAGAAGAACGGTCAGTTGCAACCAATACAAAGGGACAAAATGCGGAAAAGGCAGGAGGACGTTACCCGCCGCACATGGTGCAGACCACGTGACGAGTGATCTTCATCTTCCTCACGCGCCCATTGTACAGCTCCTCGAGCGAGCACGGCAGGGAGTGCACGAGGTCCTCCTCCTTGGGCAGAGCCTGCAGCAGCTTCCTCTCGTATTTTTTCTGTTTATACAGAACACGCGCGTGAGAAGGGACCCTGGTCACAACGATACATTCTAGGCATTCCACAGGGAATACGTGTTCTGTGGTCCTGACTTTCTGACCATTGGACCTTGCCAATGAATAGCGACGAACACAAACCTAAAAGCGAAGTTGCAATGCTTAGGTACCTTCGCGAAGAAGAGGCTCTTCCAGCGGCCGTGGACCTTGAGCGGGGGCTTGGACAGGACCACTTGCTTTCGCAGCAGCGGGTTGACTGCAGGAGGGATGGGCGCTTGTCAGGCAAAGGCGCAGCAACAACAACATCTGATCCCTCGCGCAGGCGTGAATATGTGAGCAGCGCCGTACCGATCTCCAGCCCGTGCTGTTTGCGGTTGATATTGAAGACTCTGCTGAGGATGTCGTGTGCGCCGTCGGACCTGGGCTTGTGCGTGTCGCTCGTTTCGAGCGCACCCGCGAGGTGCGGGCTGACCGTCACCACCATCTCGTCGTCGTCCGTTTCTCCCATGACGGGAGAGCCAAAGGCCTCGTCGGCCGTCGCGGACAGTCGCCCGCGCTTCTCTCGCTTCTCCTTCTCGATGCTGTCGACCCTCGCGCTCCCTTCCTTGTTGCTTGCGACCTCGTCGGCCTTCCTCTTGCGAGAGCCGTTGAGCTGCGACGACGAGGTACCACCGACCACGCCTCGTGGGTGCGGCACGGCGAAGGTGTGGCCGGCAGTTGCGCTCTTGCTCCTCTTTTTGACGTCGTGCTGCTCGGGGCCATCCGTTCCCGCGTCCGCCGACGAGTCCCTCCTCTGCACGCGGCCCGCCGTCGCCAACACGCTCGTCTCCCACGGCCAGGCTGCCCGATAGTGCTCCTTCCACAACATGTCTGCAGCACATACCACCACAAACGCGAAGAAGGGGACGTCAGAGACTGCTACCCGCGCACACCAAATTTGGTTTTAAATATGGTTTTAAATATACGGAGCGTGTGTTTTTTAAATATAGAAATATAGCCGCGCAGGATAATAGCGAGCCAAAGGGCGGAGCTCGCTGATTCAGGAAGGCGCATCTGAGATCTCAACCCAATAATTCGCATTGGGGTGGGCTTTAGAACAACGAAGGTGTGGATTGCCGATGCTATTGTCCCAGATGATGAAGGCTGGGTAGCTACCGAGCAAGCAAAAAGGGAACAAACAAAAGATCGAAGTGAAGAAGAGATGGGAGAGCGTACTGTCGCAGGCAAGGCGCTGCCATTCGGAGCAAACGAGGCCCACTTTGCAGAGCACATGAGGAGGTAGGAAAGCAAAAATCTTAATCCACATCTCGTCGCTCATTAGGTGCGTCGTGTGGTGGTGCTGTTGAGATGTGGAGATGCTCGGGAACGCGTGGTGGGAAAAGCTCGGGGGCTTTGATGAGGAAGTAGAGGTGGAGGTATTGTTGGCTGGACTTGGGATGTCGAATTCAGCCACTTCATCGACGTCATTGCTCAACAATTTGTGAATCTCCATCCTTTGTGCCCTCTCGATCCTCTGCTCCCTCTTTCGTCCTCTCGTCCTCTGCCCAGGAGCAACTGGCAGCTCGAGCGAGTCGTTGGCGTGGGTTGCTGATTGGATAGGATGTGGTTCCGGGCGCGAATCGAACGATGAAAGAAGGAATTAAGGAAAAGCTGCTCGCTTTCTCACAAACCGCTCACCGAGAAGAGCCAAGACGAAGGAGGAGGAGAATGGAAGTTAAGATCTTGGAGGGGCAGCTGGCCTCTCGATGCTGCGCAGAAGTTTGGGTGTTGGCGCAGCCCGAGAACCACTGAGGAAAGACATGGTCAAAAAATTCCCTTGTATCGCTCCCGTTGGTGGATGTGCGGTGCAGTCGTCCTATTGGGCGGCGGTTCCCGAGGTTTGGAGGCCGACAAAAGATCCCATTGGTGTTCGCATATTCCTCCGCCCGCGGGCGGTTGCCGTTGGCTCGCGTCGTCGCTGTTCCGCGGCTGGCCCCGTCGGGTGTTGTTACGGGGGGTGAGGAGTGGAGAAAGAAGGCGAGAGGCCGTCCCGGGATGAGACCACTAAAGAGAGAAGTAATCACTGGCCGGAGCCGGGAGGAACCTGCGGAGTCGTCTAGGGGATGATGGAGCGGGTAAGAAAGGGGCCGCGGGTAAAGTGGTCAAGCAAGATCGCGGGAGGCACAGTACCGTCGACGGATCGCCTTGCGTCGGTGGTGTGCTCTGGGCTGCGGGCTGCTGGCCGAGCACGACCGGGGCCTGACCGCCGAATACCACCGTCTGCGGGTTCATGAACACAGTTGGCTGTTGTTGCGGTTGGGGCGTCGTGGCAGTGGCACCGGCGGCGTAGGGGTTCATGGCCATGGGGTTCATCATCATCGGGTTCATCATCATCATACTCATCATCTGCGGATTCATGGCCTGCATGGCCTGCATGGCCTGGAGGTACGGGTTCGTCGCAGCGTCGCCAGATCCAGAGCTCTGCGTGGCCGCCGTCGCCTGCATCGCCTGCATTGCTTGCATGGCTGGCATCGCGGGCATGGCGGCAGCAGCGGTGGCCTGCTGTCCTTCACCCGTCGGCGCCGCCACCGCCGTGGGGGCGCCAGCTGTTGTTGGGCGCACGGTGGTCAGCTACTCAGTAAAAGTCGGTTGCACGGGGAAAGCATCACAGAAGGGAGTAAGTACCTGCGGCAGCCATGTAGGGGTTCATGGCCATGGCTTGCTGCATGTAGGGGTTCATGGCCATGGGGTTCATCATCATGTAGGGGTTCATCATGCCCATGGGGAAGGCCGGCATCACCGGAGGGGCAGTCTGCACAGTGATGACGGTCGGGCACCGGTACACCGTCCTCATGCCCATTGCGGCCATCGCAATATACCTCACCGTGTAGGTGTCTGGAGCAAGGACACGTCAGGCTCGATGTGCCGGCGGTCAAATAGACAAAACAGCGGCGGAACAGTACCGACAGTGTACGGCCCGTTGATGGTGGCCTCGCCGCTGTCGGTCGTGACCTGGTGTATCGCCTGCGGCCTGCAAAGGGGGAACAAACAAAGTCTGAGAAAGACAGAGAGGCTCTGCAAGGTCCCGGGTGTTTGGGTTCGTACCTGGTGTCGGTGGTGTCGCTGACCGGGAAAATGCCGAAGTATTGGTACGAGTCAGGTCGGGTGCCGGGCCTTATGTTCCATTTGAGCGTGATCTGTTGGCCTGCAAAAAAGGGTCAACTCCACGACCCTAAAATGCCGTACGCTAATAAAACAATAAAACAATTAAAAAAATGATCAGAATAATAAGATTACCAGTGGTGATGGTGGTGGGCGAGACTTCAAAGCTGAGCACGTCATCGGCCGATATGAACTCGTCCTTGATGGCGAAAGGCTGGTAGGAGAACATTCTACGCGAGACGAGAAAACAAAGAGCGTAAGGCGCACCCCACGCATATTACATATCATCTTGTGTCGTGCGTGTTGGGTGGTACCTCTTTTCGCCCCATCTGTAGACCAGCAAGGCGTACTGGCCCTCATAGTACCACCCCGACGCTGCCCACACGCCCTCGGGTTGCATTCGGGTCGTTTCTGTCGAAAGCGGAGAGCGCGGGTGTGAGTGGTCGCTGTGGTCCTCGAGACAGTCGATCCAAACAAACAAAGATCGATAGATGGACGGGGGTAGCAGCCTACCCGCGTTGATAGTCTCGGCCAAGACAAGGTCCAGGACTTCTGGGTCGTCCTCCTTGAACTTGGGGCGACCTTGCTCGTCGGTTTTGGCCAGTACCAGGCCAAAATCGGCACCACGGGCCTCGTCGCTGATCTGGGGGTGGGGGAAGGCGCCGAGAGCACGTCAGAAGCTATTTAACGAGTGCGGCGTATTGTGTAGTGTTGTGTCGTTGGGGCGCACACCTTCCAACGGATCGTGAAGGGCTTTCCAATCGGCGCGGAGGCAGGGGCGTCTACAATGAAATCCTCGGCTCCTGTTAAATCAGGAAATGTGTGAGCGTAAGGGCCACGCACATCACATCGCATCACATAGGCGCGCCCAAGAAAAGGGCACGAAAGGCGAGAAGGAGCCTGTACCCAGCGAGCGAACGGACACCACAATCGACCTGAAGTAGTGGTTGCTGGAGAAAATGGGCTCACGGTAGCGCTCCATGACGAAGTAGTACTTGCCCTCCTTCGGGAAGGTGATCGATTCGCTTTGCCATTCGCCATGCCACATCTGGGTGTCGGCATCTGGCATTTCGAAAATGCGCAGACGCGTTGGGTATTGTGGTGTGAGACTGCACGCTGTGGACGGGTAAAAAACAGGCTAAACGAACGCACCCAAGGTTTCAAAGGCGGTCATCGGCCAGTACCCGACGTCGCGCTCTGAACACGCCCCGGAAGTAAGTAAAGGGTGCACGACACACACACGTCCATGGGGTCACGCTGTATGTCGGCTCGCGAGTGCGCAGGAGTGACCGTACCTCGATTGCTCTCGTGATAGAGAACGATGCTCCACTTGTTGTGGCTGATGAAATTGGGCCGCGACCACTTGAAACGCAGCCCCTCCGAGATCTCAACACCGCGAATAAACCTGCGCAGGCGACGATGTGAGGATCGGGCACACGGGCACGCGCGACTCGATAGTGGGAGGTGCGAGGCGCACTTTTGACGACTGACGGTGAAGGTGGTCTTCCAGGCGAGCAGCTGCTTTTCGCGGAGTGCCAGCCCGCGGTTGGTGACCGCGTCGGCGGGGAGCGCCGGAGCCGACGGAGAGGTCTCATCGATGGTGGCGAACAGGCGCTTGTGGGGCGCCGCGAACACGCTAGGATTTTGTTTAACCCGACACGCGGAGGCGCGATCAGCCGACCATCCATTTCAATCGCCGGCGGAAAGGCAAGGCGCTGGGGTTGCGTACCGCGTGATGCGGGTCCGTTTATCGCCGCGGCCTTGCCTGGTCAGCTCCTTGGCCAAATACGGGATGTAGAAGCCGTCGCCCCAGTAGTAGACCTCGCCTGCGGAACGCATCGTGACACCGATGCGTGTGATGCACCGCACATGTGCAACAGCGGCATACAGGAGGCCGGCGCGTTCGTACCTTGGTCGGTGAGGGCGCAGCACATCTTGTCTTGCGCAGAAATCTGGACCACCTGTGCACCACCGGAGTCCCCCGGTGACAGTCAGTATCGTGACTCGAGGCCGCCAGGTGAGTATGTGCGTGTGTGCGTGTGCGGCGGCGTTTTACCTTTTTGCCCTTCAGGTGGCCTTGAACAGGTTCCAAGACGGGGGGCGGACAGTCGTCGCGCAGGTAGTACGTTCCCATTGTCACATAGTTCCTCCGATTGCTTCCGTTGCCTTTAAACAAGAATGAACGAAAGCGTAGGGATCAGCTCTGAGCGCACACCTAGAATTATAAATACGAAATCATGTGGTGCACCGTACCAAGAACGCCTCGGTCGCCGAGACCCCAGTTAAAGAGCTCGCCCTTGTCAGTAAGAAGCATGGAAAAGCCGTCGCCAACCGCAACGGCCACGAAGCAGTGCGACAGGAGACTTTCGACCAGGGCCGGCACAGGGAAGCAGGCGCCTGTTTTCCAGTACGCAGGGTGAGGCCGGGCCAGGTGTCACATGGAGTGGGAAGGCGAAGGAGGAGGTATGTACCGCATCGCTTCACGCCATAGTTCACACCCCACACCCATACCATGCCCTCTTCGGAGATGGCCACTGTCGTCTTGACCCCTGTTGCACACCCACCGCCGCACACGCACGACACGACACGCATGACATGCGCACGCACACCTAGTCAGGACAGAACGGTCAACACAAAGCGCCAGACGCAGGAGGAACGTACCGGAGGCGATTGAACGATGCGCTGGTGAAT